AGCGTGGGTTCTATGGGTGAAAGTTTAATTTTGGAATATAAATTTTAAATTATATAGTTCTATATGTAGATCATTATGCAGGTTTTGTGAATTTTTGGAAAATGGTAAAATGGGAAATTTTATAAAGTTTAGAGCATATTTTTGATACACCAATATTGTTGTTGCAGAAAGTTGAACTTAATTTCGGGTAATAGTTTGATTTTGGTGTCGAATTATTTATGTACCTATGTCTTGAATGTTTTCTAAAAATTTCGTGCAAATCCTGTGAATGTCACATAAACCGGTGAACGCAGGGAATGAATTAGTCAACGTGATCAAGGAGACATTAAAAACGGTGGAATGTGCGAGGATCGTTGACAGTTATATTTCATTTAAGATCATTGTCAGTAAAAGCATATACATACGTCAGGGTTTCGCGATAATTTATGGGCCTCTAGATGGACGATTCGCCGCGTTTATTTCTATTTAAATTGGCGCTGTCGCGACGCCGTCTGCGAGATTCATAGATACTTGGATTTGCAATTATTCCTGTCGGAACATCTTGAATATTCATTAGAATACTTGCTTTGCATAGTGCCAGTGTTAAGTGCCATCATGAAATTTGTAATTGTGTTAGGGTACCGCATTGCTTGGTATGCGGTCTCTGCTCTAGAACTTATAGAAGCCGTTTTAATCTTATATTATTTTTATTCAACTTTTCTTCTTACATTTATTGTGTTTTCTTTCTAAGACAATAATTGACAAATACGTAAACTTTAATAAAATTATTAATTTTATTCAGTGGTTAAAACTTGTAATTAAAGATAGCTTAGAACATATTATTACTTCGTTATGAATATTTTGCATCAATGGCGAACTTCTGTTGCTTAATAAAAATATAATTTCCAGGCGAATATGAAAATAAAAAGTTTTACCAAAAATGTACGAACTTCTATGCAAGGAATAAATAATGGTAGAGTAGATATTGTTTATAAATTCTACACATTATCTTTAATTCACAATCTTCGTCGCAGATAACGCAATTTCTCTTTAGTTGTTTAGTTTCAGTAACATTATTCGACGTTAATACTCAACGGAGCTGCAAGCTAGACGGTGATTACTCACCGGAAGTGCAGCGATGCCAAATAATCTCGAAGCGTAGTTGCATAATGGCATTATAAACAAATCATTAAATACATAGATGCTTGTGATACCTGTTTCACTGTATGCAGATAGAAACACAAGTGTTTCCAACAATCATTGTTTGTTTTACACGGATAATCATCCAACCATTACATTTCGTTGCGAAATGCTAATAACAATAAATTGATGAACCATGCTTGCTTATGCAAAGTTAAACCTTTCGAAACTTTTCTCAGTAACTATAACGAATTTCAGTCTTTCGCCTTCCATAAACGATTTTGTTTAATTACAGTTGTCTTGTTAAACATATTCGTTACTATTTATTTTTACGTATACACTGTCAATATAAAATTCCATCGCGAAATTAATGAGAACCGATCGAAGGAAAAACAAACAATCGGTGTTGGCAGGGGTCGCGAGGTGAACGGAGAAGAAAAATTAAGGTTAGCGGCACAGACGATTAGGCCGCGGGTTCTGAAATGATAGAAAGGGGGATGGCGGCGAGGGGGAGGTGACGGTGGATCAGGAGGAACCGGTGGCCACGGAAGCGTGGTGACGAGGGGTCATTGGATGAGGAGACGAGAGGAGAGGACAGAATGAGCGATAGTTGCGCAACCACACCTCCACCGCCGTCGAGCGGCGATTACGCAAACGTGATAATTAATTGCCAGTGTTCTCTGTTTAATGACTCGTCAAGTCGTTTGCTAAACACGCCAAATCACCGGTACGTCACGAAAATCGCTATACAGGTGCATCGTTGCGTGTCGAAGCTGTTAATTCTATGCCGCGGTTGCGCAACTTCACGCGGGGACAGG